AAAACATTAGTATCAGCTATCAGGCAAATCTTTATTGTAAACATTGGTATTGGCCCAGAATTTTGGAATCGGTGCATCCCTTAAAAAGTAAATCGTAAATGGTAAATGGACCAGACTGGTACAGCGCTTTTCTAGCCACTTAAAGCACTTTTACACACACATTCACACACTGTTGGCCAACGCTACCATACATAGTGCCAGCTGCTACTCAGTAAGCATTCACATGCACTCACACACCAATGGAACAGCTATAGGTTCAATATCAAAGTGCTAAAGGACACCTCAACATGCGGGTGGAGGAGCCAGGGATCGAGCCACAGATTTGAGAGTGTAGGTGTGTAGCCTGTGTTTTCGGGGACCAGGTTGGGTAGCATAAAAAAAACAAAACAGAAGTCATTTCAGTACTCTGGATTTCTACAGAGGGCTTTTCAGTTCCATGCTCAAGCCTAAATACTGCTCTAAAAAATTCCCACACTGGTAAGAATATGATTAAAAAATGTGTCTTACTGGTCCCATAGCTGACAGACATGACACCAGCAGTCCCCCTGCCAGGAAGGACTGAAGCACACGGGCCAAAACAGGAAGCCCCAACAAAACCCTCAACACACTCAAACACACACATGCATGCACGCACACATTCATACAGTGACCCTCCCACTGAATGACTGACAGGCTGGCTGGCCAGTGGTGGCTCCGTGGAGGATTTGTGTCTGTGTGTGTGTTTGGGGAGGTTGGATTGAAGGTTCCAGCTGGCCTGTCATGGGACTCCCAATCGCGTGTGAATAGCACTCAGAGGGAACTATGGCTAACTGGTCCAATGCTGTAACACTCAACAGGCTGGAAAGGTCAACTGGGGTGAGTTCAGCAGGGCAAACGCAGGGAAATTGTTTTTATGTTAAATGCAACACGCCACGAGAGCCTATGGATTCTATGGAAAATTTTGGTTCATTAAAAAATATATGGACTGAGCAAAAAAGCAGATCAGATTGAAAGACGAATTTAGAAATATCTTCCATAGTGTTTGGTTTTACTGTCATTACTTTCCACCTGCTTACAAATAATAATGTTTTGGAAAACTGCTCTCTAAAGTTCATCTCTGGACGAGTAAAACAAACTTAAGGACATATGTTATATTTACATAAAATCACAGCACAGTGCTGCTGCATTACTTATGTATGAAAGACACTCAGGTGGCTGGAAAAGTGTGCTTTTATTCTAGGGCTGCCCATGGACGTCGAAACTATTTTCTGGGGGGGGGGGGTTTTGTTGGGAGGGGCGAGGGAAGCACGCACACTTATCAATGATTAAGGGATTTGATTTGAAGTCATTTTAGAATAACATGCAGTTATAAGAGAACTAGAATGCGTGAGCGTGGACTGGTAGCTGGAGAGGTGCCAGTTCACCTCCTGGGCACTGTCAAGGTGCCCCTGAGCAAGGCACCGAACCCCCCAACTGCTCGGAGTGCCCGTCATGGGCAGCCCACTCTGACATCTCTCCACTTAGTGCATGTATAGGTCCAGTTTGTGCATGTGTGTGTTCGGACCTGTGTGTAATCGACAAACAGAGTGAAAAATTGAATTTCCCCTGGGGGATTAATAAAGTATATAAAATTAAAAAAAAAAAAAAAAAAAAGAAAGAATGGATGAACACGGCATCTTTATTGTTAAGAAAATGAAACTTTGATAACTAAATCAAGCCATTTAAGGAACATAACATTATTTGTAACCTTGAATGAAAAAAAGAAAAGTCTGTGCTCCTGACTCAGGACTTTCATGCATTTCCAAAAGTGGACCTTCTCTCAGTTGACCTACTGATGAAGATTTTAAGCAGAGTCGAGACATTGCTTTCATCCATAAGGTCACTGTGAGCGTTCATAATGGCCAAATGTGTTGAGACAAGTTAAAAGAGATAAGCTATGCCATAACAAGCTAACTAGCTAGCGCACCCCGCAGCCTCTCCACCCCTCCACTACACTCCCCGGAGACGGGGTATTGAAGGTGCAGGATTTAAAAGCTGACGCAATCTCTGGAGCCAGAGTACACTGTCCCTAAAAGCACGAAAATGCATGTGAAAATAAGGAATAAATAGTTACTGAACATCCATCCATCCATTTTCTAACCGCTTATCCTCTTGAGGGTTGGACAATTTTGAGTCACCAGTTAACCTATCCCCAGTCAGCATGTCTTCAGACAGTGGGAGGAAGCCAGAGTACCCAGAGAAAACCCATGCTGATACAGAGAGAACATGCAAACTCCACACAAGAACCCTCTTGCTGTGAGCTGACGGTGCTAACCTCCACACCACTGTGCTGCCCTTTGTATTGAACAACAAATCCAACTTGCTTGTTTTTCTTAAAGATATTTTTAGGGCTTTTTTTGCCTTTAATTGATAGGACAGTTGGCGTGAAGGGGAGAAAGAGAGGGTGGACGACATGCAGCAAAGGGCTGTAGATTGGAATCAAACCTGCAGCGGCTGCAAAACGGACAAGGCCTTTGTGCGTGGGGCACCTGCTCTACCGGGTGAGCTAATGGGTTCCCGACCAAATCCAATTTGAATCAAAAAATTCTGATTAGGGAACAGCCCTATTTTATTCTGATAAGATGACAATATAAAACTGTTCATAAACAATGAACTGTATGACTGTCCCAACATTGCAGCAGGTGAAAAGCTGAAGTATACATTAACTCTGCATAAGGCACAAGAACAATCGAAGATCATAAATCCCACCGTTAATAAAACACAGCTGAAAACAATCGCCATACTTTGATTGCAATTGGGCAGCACAACCTGTCAAGGCAAAGTCTCAAATGGCAACAGCCAACCAGAACACAGTGTCTCTCTTCTGTCTTGCCTGTGATGAAACCAGAGGACCGCCCTGAGAACACACACACACACACACACACACACACACACACACCCTCTCCACCTCCCATCATTTAGTTAACCTTGACCAACTAACCAGCCACACATAAACACTCACACCCTCCTATCCTTTGACTGGCTCGCAGATTTTGTGGAATGAGACCACACTTCCACCCAATAACCTCTGGTGTGAACTTAATTGTGTATACTCTGGTGTTGAGTTTCGGACCATGCCTGGGTCCCGAAGCTCTCAAAGAGAAACAGACGCTGTGAACTTGACAATGAGTGAGAGAGGGAGAGAGATAGAGTGAAAGAGAGAGGGAGCGAGAGACACGGACCACCCAACGGCTGCGAAGAAAAACAAAGCCGGGTGGAGAGTAGAGTCAGCTTCGATCACATCGGATGTAGGACAGTTGGACATTGTTGTGTGGTAGCAGTTCGCCAAGGGTGAAAGAGGCAGGGAGACAGAGAGAACGGAAAGCTGAAAGAGTCATTTGATCCTGGGGTTGTTTTTAGTAGCATTTGGCACCAGGCAAAAATGAGAAATCTTCCATTTTAGTCAGATAAATCATCTCGTTTTAGATTCAAATGAACTTGTAATCATTCTTTATAGAGTAAACTTTTAGGTATTTTTTTCCTAACATGGTTGAAAATGTGCCAGGTGATAATGTCCTGTGTCATCAAGGGGGTGGAGATACATATAAGCAGTGGTTCTCAATCTTGAACACTGCTGCTTTTCATTTTCAACATTTATCCCACTTTCACTTGTAATTCTGAGCTCAGGAGTTCTTACTTCAAAAATAGAATAAATAAATTCAAACAGCCCCTTAAATCAGAGTTCAGAGTTCTTAAATAGAAGTTGGTTATCTCTTATATATAGTGTTATAGTGACATATATGGTGACAGTTAACTACAAGTGTCCATCTTCTTCCACCATTGTGCTAAATACTTCATTTAAAAAGCTAGACTGAAAGGTTTTAAGAAAAGAAAGTGTGGCCAGCTATGAATCAATAGATCAACTTTAAGTACCTCAGAAGGTAAAGTGATAACCACTTGCCCTTGATCAAGAAACTTAACCCCACAGGGTACGAAATCTAAAGCATAAAGGATCCTCCGTTAACTCTTGTCTAGATTAACAAAGGCAAAGACTACATTTTCTCAAAGCAAATGTAATTCATATAAAGAGCTCTTTTATTTGACAGAGCACGTATTTCAGTAATATCTGATTTGCTATTATTCAGGAAGGGAAAGACTTTAATGAAGCACCAGTTAATGTAACTTGTAAAGGGAGCTATGTGGTGATGTGTGATGCGGTTCTAATGTTGGCCACCAGGGGGACGGGGACATGCAGAGAGTGATCAGGGAGTTGGAGGCTTCAATTTATTTCAGTGCTCCCCACTCAAGCAGTGGTGAGCGTGTGTGAGGGTCAGCGTGTGTGTGTGTGTGTGTGTGTGTGTGTGTGTGTGTGTGTGTGTGTGTGTGAGAGAGAGAGACACAGACAGAGGGACCTCTGCAAGTTTTGTCATAGAGATCTGGTAATTTTAAAAAAGCACACCAGTTTAGGGCAGTTTAGGAAAAGAAAAAAGTTATCTGATGTTAATTGTAATTTAAAAAAGTGATTAATTCACTAACTTTATCATTTGAACTCTATTTATATTATTTTAAAACATAAAATTTAAATGAAATGGACTAAAGATGACTAAAATGCACGAGTGGGAAACACATTTTATTTTAATTTAATTAATAATAAAGTTTTAAGAGGTCTAAGACTACATATGTTTTCATTAATTATATAAGGCTATATTTTTATAAGGCTACATTTTTTTATTGGAACAAATCTTTACCATGTTTTTTATTTATTTACTACAGCATTAAAAGAAGAAAATGCAAAATAACTGAATTAAATTAAATGGATCAGTACGAACTCAGTGAGAAGACTAACAGACATGCTGCTGTTGAATGTGTTAATCCCAACACACTAATCGCTCAGCCCCTGACTTCAGTCTGTTTTTGTCCTCGGGTCAAAGGTCAAATGCCGCTGTTGACCCCCTGAACTGCCCTGTTACCCAAAGCTCAAAGTCCCACTAAAGTGACTGATATATCCTGCTGTGTGACTGTGTGTGCAAGGAGTCAGTTACCTTTCTATGCAGATGAGTGCCTTTGGAGGTTTGACTCGAGGGATTTTCTACTCTCTCTGGAGCACACGGCATGGACAGCTGACCTGAAGACAGACGCACACACACATACAGTTAGGTCCGCCAACAGTATTCATCTCCACTGCAAAGTAACACAATACACATGCCCATACGCAAGGACACGTGCTTGGAGTGAGTAAGTGAGCAGGGCTATCGTAAAGTCAGCTTTCAATGAATAACAACATATAAAAGACCATTATTTACATATTTGAAGTTAATGAGACATGACAGAATTGCATGCTTATTTTACAACTCAAATATTTCCCCTGAAAAATCCTAACACAACATTGTGGGTGTAATTTTTCTATTTCATAGGCCTATTTGTACTGGATAATGATTCAGGCACCATCCAAGAGCAACATTCAGCAAAAGCTCAATGTCGTTGAGTCATTTGCATGTGCTGTGCACCCCCAAACACACAAGTACTTGGATGAGAGCCAACAAAAATTGCTAATACTCAGGTAATTTCTAAATGATCACCTAGACATGGACCACACCTATCGCTACAATGTTGAATGTTAATTTCCAGACAGTGGGGGAGGGAAAGGCTAGTTTAAGGTATATTTTCTATCACTGGAACATTGAGTAAAATATAGATTTCTCCTCTAAAATCATTTATTTGCAATCTTGAAAAACAATCTCTAATTATGTTAATAATTCCACACATCAAAATAAGTATGTGTATGTATTGTTAGTCCTCCCACCTTGCTTCAGCTAGTTTCTCATGTTTGAAGGGCTATGGTTCTAGGTAAATTTGTTTATACAGTAACATGCATTTTAATTATGAACAGTGACTTAGGGCCTGTTTATATGGTTCCGTATATTTCTGAAAACGGGTATTTATCTATGCGTTTGCGCCTATCATTTACACGTTTTCTCGACAAAAAAAACGGCTTCCAAAGTGAAAGTTTTTAGAAATATCCGTTTCAATGGACACGTGTAAAAGGATAGACAGAAATTTTGGAAAATGATGACATTGCGCCCGGGAACCACAACAACAATGGCGGATATATGCCGGGTTGTTTACATTTTGTTTACACTTTTGGGACTACTTACGAGCTTACAAATGAACTTCGCACTGCTGCATCAACGTCACCGCTACATCGGTGCACAAAGACGTCTGCTGTGCCCAATATTAATAAGTGAATAGCAGCTAACTATGCTACATAAGGCTAAAATGTAGTTTATCATTGTTTTTATCACTAGCGCCAAGAGGAAAACAAATCACTGTGCATGCGCAGAACGTTCTTCTATGGTGTTTTACATATGGTGTATCACCACCTACTGGCCTGGCATGCTAATTGCAGCAAAAAGCTGCCATTTTTGTGTAAACAGGGATATCGTTTTCAAAACTGAACGCGTAAACCCGGAATTTTTTTAATTCGGGATAAATAAAAATCTTTTTTGTATCAGTATGTGTGTAAACAAGGCCTTAGAAGTAATCTAACTGGTGACTGTAGGATGTCCTGATCTGGTCCCATTTGCAAAAGCATTGATCGGGTTGATTATTTTTCCAACCAGGAAAGCAACACAAGACCTCATAAATTGGTTAATGATTAAGAGATCTTGAACTATGCTAAATTTGGCCTATTTTTACATCTCCTGGTGAAGAAACTTGGTCTTTACATTATTCATGTCCCCAGCAGTCCAACAATCTGTATGTTAAACCTGCAAGTTACACAGATAGATATATGGACACAATCTCAGTAGGTATATCATTGTCATGAAACCATCCGCCCCATCTGTCTGTCTACCTGCCCGTCTCTCTCCTCTCGTTCAGGGCCTGTCATGACTGCTCTCCAACAGGCCTCCTGTGTCTGGATTAATCTCCCTGGTTGACTGCTGATCTGAAGGTGGGTCGGTCGCCATCCACCAACACCAAAACTAATTTCACTGTGTCACCGCACGACACCCCCCCACCCACCATCCCCACTGACACCCTCACATGCACACACATTGCAAAATATCTTCATCTGTCTCTGTCTCATCTACATGGGAGAGGGCAGGAGGGCGGGTGACTAGTCCGAGGGAGAAAGGTCAGCGCATTGAAGGAGTTCATCATTCTGAGGTGTCAGAGTCGCTCTTTAGGAGAGCAGATGAAGGGGAGAGGATGGGAGGAAGGGAGGGAGGGAGCAACAGAGAAAGAAGGGTGCAGTGGGGGGGGGTATGTTTTATATTTGTCCGGTTATTGGTTATAAGCCAGAAGTTCGTCATGGCCTACGGAGCTGGCTGGCGTCCACTTTGTGCGAATCAATCATTAAACTGTTCACGTGTTGTCTTTGATTGTATCTTAATTATGAAAAAACTGCACACACACACACACACACACACACACACACACACTCATCTCACTCAAGCTACGAATGGTCATTTGGTGGCTAAAAACACACCAGAGGGTTTTGTTGAAACACCAGAAGCTGGTAGTCAAACACCCCCACACACTCGCACTCACACAGACACACACATATTCAGTCATTCAGAAATGATCACACAATGCATCCACTACACTTGCTGGCGTCTGGCATGAGGTAAACAGCTTTTAATAGCATCAAACCCACTGCAGTTTGTTTGGGACCATCTGTCCAGTCTATTGTGTTTCTCTGTTGTGGCTCTTTGGAAGCCCATCGGGTGACAGCTGATGTATGGGCTCTTACAAAGCCCCCGGCCAGGCCCTCGGGATCCTGCCATACTGTTTTCTCCCTGTCTACTATCTATTTTGTCTTCTTTTTCCTCTGTTTAGTCTTCTTATTTTCTTTGTCCCTTTTCTGCTTCACACAGTATTTTTGGATCATGATATTGCAATCTACATATTCCACTGGTGTTATGTCCGTTTAGTAGTAGTAGGAGTAGGGGAACAGGAAATTGTGAGCATACATGTGTCTGTGATGAAGAGGAAGGCTAAGGATAAGTACCAAACTTAGTGCTTACAGACTGTGTATTTGGCATCTAGCCAAAGAAATTTTTTGTGTGCAAAAAACAAAAACAAAAAAAATTTTCAGAGAAGCTGTGGGTTTATGTCTTCACCTCAATACAGTCAGAGATTTCAGCATGCTGCATGCAGCTACTACCTTGTGGTTGCCAATTAAATGCAATGATCTCACACATACGCAGCCACTGTGTAAGATAGCTACTGAAATGCTACTGTATTGTTATGTCATCTAGTCTCTAAAATTGGACCAACACAATTCCACAGCATTTTGCAACCATAAGAATCTACAATGACAAGTACATAAACTGTTAACTAGCAAGACGAAACACAAAATATGGCATAACTGTCATGACATGTCAGCTTCATTAAAAGCATAGCTGCAAATTAAAGCAACAATAGATGCAAAAGCACACAGAGACAATACATCTGTGATCAGTTCCCTAATTTAATTTTAACAATTTTTTTTCAAGCTTCTCTTCTCCTCTTTTCCAATTTCTCGTTTTATTTAATGGAAGTGATCAATGGAAGTGCACTTGTCCTTTAAACTCATTTCTTAAAAAAAGCTAACAAAATAAAAGACGCCTGGTACATTCGCTACAGGTCTATCAGTTTGTAGAACAGTTTTGAACAGTTAGAACAAGAGGCTGCACTGCTACGTGCAAATCACTCCTTCTCGTGGCTGCCTGCGCTTTCCCTGTCCTCGCGGCTGCAGCTTGCGCTCTCTTCATCTACTACTTCATCGCCACTGCTGTACACAATTTAAAAACTACAACACCCATAATTCAGGTAGGAACTGCTGCAGCCAATGTGCAGCAGGCAGGAGCTGCAGGATGACTCAATCACCATGACCAGTTTTTATTGTTTTATCAGGCAATTTTTCCCCCGTTAAAGGGTTTTTTTTGGGGAGTTTTTCCCTTATCCACTGTGAGGATCCAAAGGACAGAGGGATGTTATATGCTGTAAAGCCCTGTGAGGCAAATTGTGATTTGTGATATTGGGTTTTATAAATAAAATTGATTGATTGAAATTGAATAACTACTCCAGACTCTGCTCTAGTGTCATTTTCGGGACAATTAGGGCAGGATTCGGGATTCGGGACAAGTGCTTGGATTTCGGGACGTCTGGTCACCCTATATTATGACACAGTCTTGCAGCAACATAGTGCCCAAACTCCGGTTACCTCCAGGTTAATAGTGTTAGCTTTGTCAGCACTATTGCTGCTGTTAGCACTGTTTATGGAGTTAGCACCAGAGCTCAGCCACGACATGTTGAGATTCTTGTGCAGGCAATCCCGCAATATACCGTAAAAGCCAAAAGCAAAAAAGCCAACCCCAGATTCAATCTCATTTAATGTTTTGCCTCGCTGTATTTGTGCTTTTTCAACGTTGTATCTTTGCATGCTGCTTACTGTCTGGCACCTGGACGCTACCTTTTTTTTTATAAAGCCCCGAGCAGGGTGGCGGTATAAACGTTCCAAACACAGAAAATAAGAAGCAAGAAAGAAAATACGGACAGAGGGCAAAGTCTCTGCAAAAAATACACCACCACACACTTCTCGTAAGTCATAAGTGATGACTGAGAGGGATTACTTCTGCATGAGTCTATGTTTTGTTGGAAAATCCTGCACAGAATATCTTTAAATTTGTGAGAGACTTTTTTGTTGTACAAATGAGAGATAGTTGTAAACTGGGAGTTCATAAGCGTCAATCATTAATTCCAGGGTTAATTCAGGACAGACACACGATACAGGTAGGAAGGTGGCGTCTACAACACCATTTACAGTCTGAGCACAGCCGACACTTTTCTCTGCACAATTCAGAATTTTCTGTTGTTTATAGAAAAAAAATCACCAGTGTGAATATAAGGGGGTTCCTTGAGAGGTTGAGGGGTGGGGGGTGAAAGCTGGGTTCAGGAAGTTTTCACTCCTTTCTTCCCCGGGTGCCCCTGGCCTCTCCAACTTCTAGTCAAAGGCTGAAAGAAGCCAGATGCAGGCAGGATAATCACCACCTAATAAGAGGCTATATTGAAAGCAGGCTGGTGCTCATACTCTACAAGCTTGAAAGGCATGTGTGCACACATACATACACATGGATAGTT